TTGGTAGTTAATTTTAAGAGAGCAGAAAAAGCAAAAAGGCAGAGAGTCATCAGTAGTCACTTTCCTCCAAGCCTGTGGAGCCTACCATCTCCTTATCTGTTCCTTTATTTCATCTCAGGGCTAATATCCCCAAAGCAGTCTTGGATAACATCATCAGTCCGAGAGGAGTTTCTGCAGCCCAGTTAATCAGCACACACACAGCAAATGATGAGAAGTAGTTACGAAATGCCTCCAGGATTCATTTATTCACTTAACAATAATTTTTATTTTATTTTATTTTATTTTTGAGATAAAGTCTTGCTCTGTCGCCCAGGCTGGAGTGCAGTGGCATGATCTAGGCTCACTGGAACCTCTGCCTCCTGGGTTCAAGCGATTCTCCTGCCTCAGCCTCCCGAGTAGCTAGGATCATAGGCACACACAACCACGTCCGGCTAATTTTTATATTTTTAGTAGAGACGGAGTTTCACCATGTTGGCCAGGCTGGTCTTGAACTCCTGTGCTCAGGTGATCTGCCCTCCTTGACCTCCCAAAGTGCTGGGATTACAGGTGTGAGCCACCACACCTGGCCCACAATAATTTTTAAAGCAATTAATCTGTACCAAGAAGTATTCCAGGGGTAGAGCAAATTATTTCACCTCAGTCCAGAATCTAGCCCTCAGCTACTTCGATGCAGAAAATCGTATTGTTCATATATTCAGAGATCATCGGATTTTTTATGACAAACTACCTGTAATTAACCGTATAATTAAAATCACCAGAAAATGCTAAGTCATTCATTTCCACAGTGATTTCAAATACCCCTAGATGGGTTTGCCTCTAACATTTGTGGGGTCGGAGCAAGAGTATAAATGGAGGCCCATGTATCATAGGTCTAAACATTTAAAAGTTTGAAATCTTGCTAACAGACTGTACACATAGATGTATATACATCTTCGTAACTTGACAAATATATCTTGTTAATGACCTAGGAGGTCAAATGGCTTGGAGTTCCTTGCAGGAAAGGTGGTGGGGAGCAAATCCCCTTCTCTTCCCCACCACAGGGTGGACCCAGCCCAGACATCCAGGTTCTGTTCACATCCTCCTGTTATAACCCCTTGTGCCTAGAGATGTGCAACTCTGCAGTGAGGTTACTCCTGGAAAGGTGGCCCTGAGGAAGAGGCCAAACAGGCCCTGGAAGCAGGCTCAGGAATTTGGGCAGAGAACTCCAGAGTGTTCTAGAAGGAGGATGGGGGTCTCCATATGAGTGCCCTGTCTCCTTGGCCCATGGACTCCTCAGAGGTGGGGAGACAAACCAGGACTCTTAAAATGGGGCCCATGGCCATGATTCAGGGCATCCCCTATCTTCAAGTGAGGTACTGGAAAGGCAAACAAAATGCCGCTGGGGAATTAGTGGAAACAGAGGATGGTTCACCAGCTCTGGAGCTGAGGCCTAGTTGACCATCCCTCCTGGCATAGAATACCTCCTGGCCAGAGAAGATACTTGTCCCCCAAATTCAGGTGTGTATTTCCTGTGATGGGGCTGACACAGTTTGCTGCCTCAACAACTCCCTTTTCTCTGAGGGTCAGGGCTGCAAAGGCTCCCAGCAGACTGGGAGATTACATGGGGCTCACCACACAGGGCTGCTTCAGGCCAGAGAGAGTACCTTTTTCTTTTCTTTCTTTTCTTTTTTTTTTTTTTTTTTTTTTTGAGACGGAGTTTCACTCTTGTTACCCAGGCTGGAGTGGAATGGCGCGATCTCGGCTCACCACAACCTCCGCCTCCTGGGTTCAGGCAATTCTCCTGCCTCAGCCTCCTGAGTAGCTGGGATTACAGGCAAGCACCACCATGCCCGGCTGATTTTTTGTATTTTTTAGTAGAGACGGGGTTTCACCATGTTGACCAGGATGGTCTCAATCTCTTGACCTCGTGATCCACCCGCCTCGGCCTCCCAAAGTGCTGAGACCTGCTGCCAAGCCATTTCTGACTGAATGGACCTGGGCAATTCTCAGAGCTCTGGAGCACCCCTTGTGGTAGAAGAGAGTAAAATAGATTTTTTTCCTTTTTTCCCTTTTAATATTATTTTTTTATTTGTAGAAAGGTATGGGGTACATATGAAATTTTGCTACATGTATATAATGCATATTGATCAAGTCAAGGTATTGAGTGTGCCCATCACCTGAGTACAATACACTTTTGTTAACTACAGTCACCCTACTCTGCTATCATAGTGTTTACTCCTTCAATCTAACTGTATGTTTCTGCCCTTTAACCCACTTCTCTTCATCCTCCCTCTCCCACCACTCACCCTTTCCAGTCTCTGTTATCTGTCTTTCCACTCTCCACCTCTATGGGATCAAACTTTTTAGCTCCCATAGATAGGTGAGAACGTACAACATTTGTCTTTTCTTGCCTGGCTTATTTCACTTAAGATAATAACCTCTACTCTCAAAAGTAGAGAGGACCCCAGAAAGCCACCAATAAGTGTTTGGATAACAGACACCTGCATAATCCCAAGGTAAATGGCTTAATTTACTGACCCAACTAGGTCTGTAATGAGAATAGAGTATGTAGTGGTATTGGTGGTTCTGTCCTCATTCTCTTCATTTTACAGTCATAATTAATCAAAACTTATCCTCTCACCTTTGTTGTGCTCATGACAAATAATTACCTGCTCTAAGCAGGAATTAACTGAGGAACTAGACTGGCAGTGATTCTTCTTTGGGATGTGAGACAAGAAGCTTGGAAATATAATAAAATGCACCGTTATTCTAAGAGATGACAGCAAGAAGCAATTTTAAAATATGTCTCTCTTGTAAACCTTTGGGCCTTAATGACACGAGTGATTTTTCCATTACTGAGAAGTGCAAATAGAGGTGGATGAATTTTCCTGACAGCTGAACCAGGCTTCAGTTAGTTTCAGAGAAACTTTCTATTTGAGTTGATGTGTCTGTGCATCAAGTTAGGCCATCATTTCAATGGATCCAGTGAATTACTCCGGGGGAAATAATGTGCCCAGGACTTGGGTATGGTTTTGTTTTGTTGTTGTGTTTTTTTTGTTTCTGTTTTAGTTCACTACCTGGAACCTACCTCTGCAGTGTGGCTTACCTCTGATGGCCAATGCCAGACTTTTTGGGGGAATCACCTGTGCAGGTTAAGAATGAGGATGAGGACAGCTGGGCTTGGTGGCTCACACCTGTAATCCCAGCACTTTGGGAGGCCGAGGCAGGTGGATCACCTGAGGTCAGGAGTTTGAGACCAGCCTGGCCAACATGGCGAAACCCTGTCTGTACTAAAAATACAAAAATTAGCTGGGTGTGGTGGCTGGTGCCTGTAGTCCCAGCTACTCGGGAGGCTGAGGCAGGAGAATTGCTTGAACTTGGGAGGTTGAGGTTGCAGTGAGCCAAGATCACAACACTGCACTCCAGTCTGGGTGACAAAGTGAAATTCCACCTCCAAACAAACAAACAAACAAACAGAATGACAATGAGGGGAAGCCACGAGAGGGAAGAAGAAGGAAGAGTTAACCGTTTGGATCTAAAGAGAGGCTTTGCGGGGTGACAGCTATCAGCAGCTGTAGGGAGAGATCCAACACAAATTTAACATCTGTCTCCTTGGGCTCCTCAGATACTTTCCGACTCAAATTCCATGGGGTTTTCTCCCTATGGCCCTCTAACCTCTCTAACCTTGCAGAGGACGCTCTCCTAACAGTCCATGTATTGTTTGGAAAAAATAAGTGTTGTTAGTCTGAATTCAGTCAGGGAAGCAGAACTGCGATGAGCTGTAGAGGAAGTGATTTATCATAGGAATTAGTCCTGGCCCCACTGGAGGTCCAGGCGGGAACTGGAAGATGGGAGTAGCAACCCACCATCAGGCTGAGAAGCCCAGCACATCCAGCTGCACAAGTGGAAGGGGAAGCTGGTTGGGGAAGCCTCTGGGAAACTCTTCCTACCTCTGTGGGCCTGCAGCCAAGTGTCCAGTGGTGGCCCTGGGGCTCCTGTTGGTCAACAGGGTCAGCAGTCAGAACGAAGATCTGGACACAGATTGAGGGAGAGTGAGGACAAGTAGGATCCACTGTCACCTCTACCTCTGTTTGTCACCATACCTAAGTACAACAAGCTTTGGAAAGTAACGGCTCCTTCTTCATTCCTACCTCGCATATCTTGTGCAAATTCTTCCTTTGGCCAACTCTAACCCAAAGCCTTCAGGAAAGGGGATCCTGGGAAATGTGATTCCAGCTTAGCAAGTTAGCACACTATGCACTACCATGCTAGGAAACTCACAGCGTGGCCACCGGCAGAGCTCCCCCAGCAATTGGCAGGATACCCAGATGGAGAAGGTATAGGATGAATGAATAGGGGTGGGGGTCGGGGAGGGGGGAAGTCTGAAAAGCATCCTTGACCAATCAGAGCACGTTTTACTGTCCTGGAGCTTGAAACAGAGGAGAAAGTTACTAAGAGTTTTCCTGCTAGGATGGGACAAAGGATATCTTTACTGGGCAAGGATGAGGTTAGGTGGACCAGCTGCCTTCCTTCTAAACTGAGGTCACCGTTTGCAGCCAAAGTTCCCATAGCCCTTTGGTGCAGCCAGATTTAAAAAGAATCTTGTTCTCAGAAAGGCCGAAGCACATGCATATTTAAAGAGTTCTTTTAACACCGAGTTATCTGAGAGAGAATTACCTTAACCCAAATTCCGAAGACTCCACATAGTTAAGATAGACAAATTCATTATCAATGGTGCTGAGAATAGCTCCTTGGAAGGAATAAAATGTTTATTGGGATCAATTAAAGTATGTTTGAGAGATTTATTTTCTCCATCTTTATTCTATTTAAAGAAAGTGCTGAGTTGTATATTAACACTTCAAGGTCTCGGTCACTGTTTGTCTCTTGAAAAAAACAGAGAGAAAATGTTTGTCATTCCAGGAGCATAATCAGTTGAACCAGCGCACAATGACATAGTTAATTCACCAACGGAATTTGTTGCCATAGCTCCAGCGAGGGAAGGGGTAGATTAAACAATAGCCTTTTTCACGACTGCAGCCTTCACCACAACCTGCCTGTCCCCGCAAAGCGGGCCATCATAGCGCTAGTTCAGAGCACAGCAATTGTCAATGAACCACAGCCCAGGGGAGACAAGAGGAGGCTTGTGGTAAATAAAGCAAGAGTGCCCAGCAACTCAAATCTCTCCTTATTCAGTAACGGGGACACTCCGAGCTCCTCCGAGCTTATCTTTAACTGCTGGGCACAGAGAGCCTGCTTGACCTTTGGTCAAATGAGGAACAAAAATTTCATCCTGTGACTCAAAAGAACTCCAAAGGGAGGAGGCCTCTGGAGAAAAGATCAGGAGCAGGCATGGTAGGCCATCAGGAGTGCACCATGGAAGAAGACTCCAGGGACAATCGTGCTCTGCAACTGTGGCGCAAGGTAATGTGGATGCTTTCTTATTGATTTTTGCCTTATTGAATATCAAAGTCAGTTCAAAAAGTAAACTCCTATGTATCTGCGAGTATAATGAATCTGTGCTAATTAGTAATCACACTAAAAATGGAAATATTATCTTCTACATCTTAAGGTGATTTTTAAAAAAAACAACAAATTGTGACTAACATTTCTTTATCCCCTTGCAGAGTATGTCAGCTCCCTGGATAAACTTAGAAGACAAGAACAAATTTGCTTACTAAAAAAAAAAGGTCAGATCAATATGCTGTGGGAGCCTGAGGGTATTGCAGAAATGTTTTTGCAAAATGTTCATTATCCTATGAAACGAGAAATTCTCTTAGTAGAAAGAAACGTCACAAAATCCTGATTAGAATAGCCATTCCTTTTCTTTTTCTTTTTTTGAGACAGAGTCTCACTGTTACCCAGGCTAGAGTGCAGTGGCGTGATCTCAGCTCACTGCAACCTCTGCCTCCCGGGCTCAAGTAATTCTCCTGCCTCAGCCTCCCAAGTAGCTGGGGCTACAGGCGTGCACCGCCACACCCGGCTAATTTTTGGATTTTTAGTAGAGTAGGGGTTTCACCATGTTGGCAGGCTGGTCTCGAACTCCTGACCTCAAGTGAATATCTACTTCTGAATTCAGTGTTATGCAATGGTCACACAAATGAGACCACTTTATATGGTCTTCTCTCTTGGGGAGGGGGTGCTCAGGGAACATGTTTCAAGGGGATCCTTGTTAAACTGAATGAGTTCTAGATGGGGAAGGTTTAGGCAGGGGGACAAAGTGCTAAGAAGGACCTCAGATGATGTGAAGAAGAGATTGAGGGCCAGAGGCAGCTTCCCAACAACAAGACAGAGGGAATTTCTCTGCTTAACGATGAAGCTGGTTTCACTGCACTACCCTGAGAATGGACACTGGCCCTGCTGGCTCCTATCCCAGCATCCCTTCAAAACCTTCCCATGCCCCTTGGAATGGATATGGGTGGCTGGTTTAAGTGCCATATGCCTCAGAAAGTAGTCTAGGTTCATATCCAGCAGACACTTGAGCTACATGACCGATCGATCATTTTGCCCAGTTGGTCCCTTCCCCAGTCACCTCTACGTTATCTTAAATTTGGAGAAATTTTGCTGTATATTGAAGACTCATGAGTTTTACCAGTTCATTGTATTGAGTTAATGGGGGAATCAGGAGGCATTCATTCATTCATTCATTCATGCCTCATTTTAAAATGAGATTTGAAGTGGCATAGAAACAACTAGATTCGGGCTGGGTGCAGTGGCTCATGCCTGTAATCTCAGCATTTTGAGAGGCCGAGGTGGGCAGATCACTTGAGGTTGGGGTTCAAAACCAGCCTGGCCAACATGGTGAAACCCCCTCTCTACTAAAAATACAAAAAAAATTAGCCAGGCGTGGTGGCAGGCACCTGTAATCCTAGCTATTTGGAAGGCTGAGGAAGGAGAATTGCTTGAACCCAGGAGGCGGAGGTTGCAGTGAGCCCAGATTGCGCCACTGCACTCCAGCCTGGGTGACAGAGTGAGACTCTGTCTCAAACAAACAAACAAAAAAAACCAACTGATTCAGTTCTGGACTGGTGAATATAGAAAGTTGAGATGATTCTTCTACGTTCCAGTCATGTAGAATTAAATCTGTGCAAATATCACTCTGTATTCCGACACCTTTCGTAAATCGAAAATAGACAAAGGCCTCTAATTTCATGCTCTCCCAAATGTATCACTTATCAACTTTATAAGAGTTAACATTTGCCGGGCGCGGTGGCTCACGCCTGTAATCCCAGCACTTTGGGAGGCCGAGGCGGGTGGATCACGAGGTCAAGAGATTGAGACCATCCTGGTCAACATGGTGAAACCCCGTCTCTACTAAAAATACAAAAATTAGCTGGGCATGGTGGCGCGTGCCTGTAATCCCAGCTACTCAGGAGGCTGAGGCAGGAGAATTGCCTGAACCCAGGAGGCGGAGGTTGCGGTGAGCCGAGATCGCGCCATTGCACTCCAGC